AGCAACTGTCTGCCGCTTGTCACAGGTCGGAAAACAAGCACTCCTCGATCACTTTCAGCGCCATCACCACCGGCTGTTCATGGGGGATTTTAGTGCATGCATGCACGATGGGTGGGTGATTTTATGCGCTTTCATACTGAACTCAGTCGATATGTGCTAACGACCTGGACGGACGGATGCGGACGTTCAGTATGCACGAAACTCGCCCACCGACACTAGAACGCTGATTTCGTTACGAACGTGTCGTCTCATCCTTTTCGTTCCGTTCCTTTTTTTTTCTAGTAATTGTTCATCGTTGTGGGGTACGCGCTCTCTGAAGACAATCGACCACAATCACGGCCTGTTGATGTACTCATTTAAAAACAGCACTTTGGTCGGTTCAGAGTTTAGTACGTACCACTTTCCACCAGAAATTTCATTTCCAATTATTGTCACGTGACTACTGTCATGCTTTCGTTGTTTTTCTCATCATTTCGAAATATCCATCGGTCATCTGATGTCACTGAGGTCAGTTGCTCTCCTCCAATTTGGTTGATCACCTATCGATATTATACGCTCATGTCGATAACGTCACCCTACTAAGCTAGGTCTTGCCCATCGTATTGCGGTGTTTTTCCATAAATTTTTCCGGAAATTTTCCGTGATCTACAAATTTAGCCTCCCCTATGAGTCCTTACTTATCTCAGCGATGAGCTTCGGGTAGGAGGAAATAGCGATGGTTGTGTGGGGAGGGCGGGGCGGACCATCGAAGTTTCGGAATGTTACTTTTCCCATTTGTTTGTTTTTCTTTGTTTCGCATTTTACCAAGCCCCGTAATGAATTTTCGTCCTCCTCCATCTTTTCTCCTCGTCCACGAATCTCGCAGTTACCTCAGAGTAATGGCAGGGGAATTACAGGTAATCTTATGGAACGTGCCACTTCGCACGATTGATTTTTGTTTTCTTGTTGTTCTGGACTATTTGTTGGGCCACAGTTCTTCATCGGTCGCCACGACCACGCTGTCAATGGCGACTATCATTGGTGCGTGGGTGATTGATACGATCGAGATGGCCAGCTCCTCCTATCAGTTCGGTCGACGATAGACTAGTTAACCACAAGGTGTTTACTATTTATCGACTAGTTAGTAATCTCTATCACTTTCTGTTTGATTTGTACTGTGTTATCAGCTGCAGATCTTATGGAGTAGCACAGTGTAATTGCTATCATTACAACGTCGGGATGGTAATGTCATTTTTCTTACCGGTTCCTTTGATGATACCCATTTGTTCAGTGAATAAACCCCTCTGTTGTACTAAGTTTTTCCCTTCTGGTTCGAGAAGTACGAAAACATAGGTACTGATGTAGTGATTACTTTGGGAGAACCAGTTCTATCGCGCTTATCCGTCTTGCAAATCTTGCAAGATATTTCACCTCGGCTGTCGGTTGCTCTCTTCAATCAGCTCGATGCGCCTCTTCCGAGGCTCATTTCTGCGCCCGACAAATGCGCCGGCCACACACATACACTCATAGCGACATGGGTTTAGTCTTCACTTGGAATCGACATCATAATCCCTGGCGCATTACACGTTTTGCCTGCTTCTCTGTAATTATTTACACGGGAGAACCGTTAAAATATTTGCATCAACATCAGGGGGGACCCGAAGTTATTTGCATTGTGCGCTCATGTAATCGAGGATTTCTCTCTGTCACTTATGCTTTGAATGTCCCGATTTATGAGCAGTTTTTCATTGGAATATTATCGCATTGGCTGTCCGCATTGCCGAAGTGAACCAGCAGCCGTTTCGAGTATTTCATATTGATGTTGGTTGGGCTAGGCTGCGATGGGGGGCTGACACGATGAAAGGAAAACGCCAAGTGACTCTAATCAATGCCCAGATCTTATCGATTGCCCATCAATATTATGGCTAGCGGAACACCCACATTGAAATGTGCTGTTGCTAGTGCTACTGCTGCTGCCGCTACTGCTGTTCTTAGAGCGGTTCTGATGGGGGAGTGCTGCTGCTGCTGCTGCTGCTGCTGCTGCTGCTGCTGCTGCTGCTATTACGCTCGCTGTTTCCAGTGGCGGCCTGTCTATCTAGAAGTGCATATATTTCACCTTAAAAACTTGAATCTTATCACAGTAGCACAGCATTATCAGCACGTACATTGTTTACAAAGTGTTGAAGCTTTGCATGTGGATAGCACGTGTTGATCAACGATCGAGCCAAACACCTGCCGTCAGGACCTCTTCTGCAATATATGACCCCAATTTTTGCACTCGCTCTATCTGTTCGTCTCTACTCTTTGATATGAGCCGGCCGGATAACTTCAGCTTCATCAATCGTACCCTATCGCAATTATGTCTGCCCTCTCTCAGGACGTCTTGTAACCTGAAGGAATTAATTAACTCCTGCCAATCGATACCACTTAGCAGCACTTTCATCTCCGGATGCACCCACTTTTCCCCCTACGTATCGTTGTGCCCCTTTTGAGCTCAGAACTTGCCTTATAGTAAAAAAATTAACATTAAAATGACTAATTGATTTCGTTATAATTAAATGTGAGTGCTGTAGCGTCACACATCGTGTGTTGGGGACCTCCTGCGGAAAGGATGTATTAGGGCGCTAGGATGAGGTGGTGGGGGAGAGGAGGGTATTGTCGTATCTGCCTCTGACAAGCAGAGAGAAATATAATGATATGTCTTCAGCTGCTGACTTCTCGGTTATTTCCCGTTTCAAAAACCTATATTCCCCATCCTTCCCCTCTCCCTTGACGGCAGTTGTTCGGGAGAAAAAAAAGTTCAGGAATTTCGGAAAAAAAACTCGGGGAACAATGTAGGAAGATGAGATGAGAAAGTGGGGTCGTACCAGAAGAGGAAGTTTTGCCAAGGGTCGTACTTCTACAGATTGTTCTCAACGAGGACGTGCCCAGGCTGGGATTTTTTCCTGAGTGTAGCTCATATGTGGGGATAGAGAGTGCAGCATCGTTGGGAGAAGCCCATTATTGATTGGGAGGGGGTCGTAATTGGTCGCCAGAAAGGGCAGGGCTCGTATCTGGCGTACCTAACCTTTAAAAGATTTTTGAACACAAGATTCTGAACTTTTTTCCGGCTGTTGAAATCTCGTGTTTTTTCCCGTTTCATGTTCACTACATATCCCCTCTCGAAAGCAGTTCTTTGGGGAAAGATTGGAAAAAAGTTCGAAAAAGTGGAAAAGCAGTAGGAACTTGGGAAAACTTAGGAAGATTGCAGATAGGATGGGGAAGGGGACGTACCAGGTAAGGGAATTCTGAGAGGGTGGAGGTCATACCAGATAGGGAAATTCGAAAAGTCATACTGACACCGCCATTTCGCACATCACATTGCTGTGCCCTGTAAGAAGGATATGTCAGCTCCCTTAAAGTTTAAAAGTATAGTATAGAAACTAGCAGAATCGCGGCTGTTTCCATTCTCTAATTTTTCCCCGTTCGGGGTTTTCTAGATGTTTTCGGTAGCCACAAAACGGAAACGGAGAGAACAATTTGGTATTGCTTACTGCAGTTTTCATCATAGCGAAATGCCGCTATACCTGAATTTACTGCCATCGAATCCTGTCAGGTAACCTGCCTGTTTCAGGAACGAGAGGCATTTGTCTGTATGGAGAGACAAAGTATAAACTATAAGCCTTTTGGGCCTCTGAGGAGATCTCATCGAAATATCAGGCCATTGGTAATGAGAAGGTCCTCCTAACAACCCCTCTGGTATAGACGGCATCATTAAACGTCATGGCAATTACTGTAATTAACTAGTAGTACAGTACAGTACTACTTCCTCAAGTTTTATTACCAATTGTAAGTTATACTTCGCGCGACTGTTTGAATGCTCGTATTTACGGACGAATGGGGCATTGGCGGTGAATTATGAGTTGACAATGACCATAGCAGAAGAAGAACCAGCTCTTAGAGGTCGAATTTCTGCATGTTCCACAACTGTTATACCCATCATTCGTGATTTGTTATTCGTTCGAACTAACCTTATTTTTTAATTTTTTCAAAAAGGATACTGCGGTTGTAATGTAGGTGATCAATCTCCCAAATAACCTCTCTACTTCCTCCATCATTCAATTTTTTCAGTGGACCTTGTTTTTCCTGTTTACAATCCTACCTAGCACAAACTATCATGCTTGATTCACGTGCACCCAGCGCTTTCATGCTATCAAAAATCGTTGGTGGTGGCGAGAATCGGCCCGTTTTCTCGTCGGGCGACTTACGCTCTCTTGGTGTGTTGTTTTAAACTATCTATCCCCCAATCGTCTTCCTACCGTTTCTCGTTTTCTCATCCCGTTTTGCATACGTGTACGTTCACACACGCATACATACACACGGACGCATCCCATAAATGCATATTTCGTACTTTCGTGGTGAGCACATTGCCAAAAAAAAACGCCACCAACACCTTGGCGATATCGATCGCACGTTCGTTATGTGATTTTCCCTATAAAGAATAACCCTGGCGGGTGGACGGGGGAATTTTTTATAGTCACACCGATAAGATGTTCCTTATCGTAATCACTCTACCGTTTCGGCACCCACCGTTTTGCGGCAGCCTAACTCGATTACTGTCCGACGAGAGTTCATCGTGTTATGATCATTGTTTGTTTAACTCGATAATCGGATTAACAAGTATGACTGATATGGATTGAAATCGAATATTTCAGTGGGGTTATTCAAAGAGCATTGATGTAGAGAGTAGTGCGCTCACAATTGATTTCTTCAATGGCTGCAGGCGAGTTTCGTCCGTCCCGTCCGTCCCGTGCGGGAGGGGGGGACATGGGGCGATGGGTACCCGCTAAGTGTAATTTTTCGTCGTTGCCCGCATGAATGTGCGTCTACTTCCCATGCTTCGTCTTTTCTTTTCACTTTTCGAACAAATGTTTCTTCCCGTTGTCGTCGATCATTTCGTTCATGGCGCTTTTGGTGAAAGCATATTTCTGCGAAAATTGTTTTTTTTTAATTTTTTCCAGCCTTTCTAGTATAGGCTGGCGATGGTAGGCGAGAAGGAATGGGAGACATGTTACCATTCGACACCTGCCGGCTATTTTACCGGGTGTCGCCGTGCCGCCAGCTTTCCTTTCTTCGGAGATCATACATTGGTCCCTAGCAGCGCTCTCAAGGTTAGTACTACAATATTTTTCAGTACTTTTTTCTTACAAAGTTCACCTATAGTTCACATATAAGTACTTGTGTCTCAAGTTTCATAACGATACATGATGCAATTGTTCTGAAAATTATATTTTTAAATTTTAACTCCAATCAATTCCGGCTACTGATTGTAGGAAAATGTGGGGGGAAACAGTCGGCGGCGTTCGCATCAAATAAACATCTCCTATCACAACAGCTGTTTTCGTTTCTTCTTTGAAAGTGCAGAGCTTTTCGCAATACGCCTGGTGCTGTCATCATTGGCACCAGGGGCATTATTGTGACAACTTCATTAATCTTAGATTTACGGTGTCAAGCGTCAGCCCCCTAACGCTCGCCCAGTTTTAGGTACGATCACAGAGCGAATCTGAAGGATTGAATAAAATACGATTCAGCCAGATCAACTTGGATGCTCTTCGCAATCGTCCCCGAGAGATCGTTGAAGAATGTGGTGAGTTTTACTGTCTCTGTATAGACATATGTCCCCCCATATCCCGAGCATGGGGAAGGCGTGGCCGCGTACTTTATTAAAACATTTCGTGGGTTGCGCCTAAGGTGGATGTCTTCGTTCTGAGACAACTGCAAACATACCCTCGCTAAGCACATCACAGGATGACAGCTGTTTCAAATCGATATGTTCCACGAAGAACGTAACATTCGCCATGTCTAACTAAGGCACGCAGCCACGCCCACTTCATGGCTGAGATGAGCAGCGGCCACGCCCTTCTACCTTCTGTATCCAGGAAATAGAGTGGTCGTACTTGCGTATTCAGTGAACGCACGGCAGTGACCCCGGGGAAATTTCTGCTTAAGAATGACTCTCCGTCAGCTTTTGAACACTAATGCTCAACTGATGAGACTGAAGCCTGACGAGTCGCGTAATGCTTTGAAGGAGCTGAAATCTTTCATACCGCCATCACCAGCGATACTGAATACGCAATTGCGAACCATCTCCCCGTGGGATAGAGAGTACTTGATAGGACCAATTACACCAGGGCACGTCGTACTGCAGCAATCCTAGCCAGGGGGTGGGGTCGTATTTGGTAGCTGAAGAGGGAGGGAGGGAGAGAGTCGAAGTTTCCTTCAAAAAATGTTTTCGGTTGTTGACTCCTCTTAGTTGTTTACTTTTTTTCAGGTGCTCTACATACCCCCAGCACTTTTCCGCCTCGACGGCAGCTTTTTTTGGAGGGGGGGGGGGAGAAGAGGTTTTCAGGATAAAAAACTCCGGAAAGAGGGCAGTAGGAAGTTGGAAGAGTTGGGTGGGACGTTAGGTAGGAAAGGGAATGAGGTTGGGGGATCGTGGCAGAGGAGGAAATTTCGAGGAGGAAGGAGGGTAATGGGGTCGTATTTTGTAGAACTCCTCCCTAATGACAGGACGTGCAATGTTACCAATTATAAGTAGCCTATTCTGACATGTTCGGCTTATTTTCTTCCTTTCCATCAACTGATTCTACTATCAGATGAAGCAAGCGACTGCGAATCAGACTCGAGCTCGTCCACATCCGACGAATGTGACGCGTCCGGAAAGGGACAAACGGTTACCGAGCAGATCCTTGAAGTGAGTTCAATGTTACTTCAAAGTAAAATGTCCCACGGCGCTGGCCCAGTATATATCCACAACCCGAAAGTTCATAGTAATACGTGATTGGACATGCCACGACGTGGACCACACGTCATTAGTGTGGGTGGAGGGGGGAGGGGTAAGGAGCGCAAGCACCTCTGGATGTTCAACAACGAGTTGAGCTTTTCGCCGGTTGCAAAACACCTTTTTCATGAGGGTGCTGTCCCTCATTCACACTGGACTCCCACTATTGTGGGTTGAGGAACAACCCAACGACCAAAACAAGCGAAAAAATGGCGCGGGAATGGTGTGGTGTCAGAAGACGCTCCCGTGGTATTGGCGTATCATGAGCAGAGCATGCCTTGCGTTGAAAATTCTCGGACCGAGGGAAGGGAGTCTCATCTGGTGGCTGGAACGAGGGGGTCGTATGTAGTGCAGCAAAATTTTTTTGACTGTCGACTTTTCCCATTTTACGCGTGTTACATAGCAGCCCCCTCCTCCTTGGTCGGCCCCGCGAACAGTTTTTTTTTGTTTTACAGCTAGCTGATTAGTAACAAGCGCTCCCTCCGCCTCGCTCATCGGACTTTCTAGGGGAGGGGGCGTATTTTAGAATGTGTTAGTTTGCAAAAATTCTCCTTAGCACGGGGCTTAACACCCGGATGTGCCCTTTTCGCGAAACGTTACGACACGAGTGGTATCAGGACGAGCCTGCTTTTGTGGTTGCTGTCTCTTCCTCTCAGAATTTCCTCCTGTAGTGTAAGCTCCATCTCATCCCTCATCCTTCCTACTAACTTCCTGAATTCTTCGGTTCTACCCAGCTTTCTACCAGTTTTTCGGGCGCGGAGGGGGTTATGTGGCGCCAGTGGAACGGAAAAAAGAAGCGCCAGCGAGAAAAACATTTTTCTGGAAAGTCCCCACCCTTCACCGAAAAATACGAACTACACTTGCTGGGAATCCCCAATGTCCCATATGCATCAAATGGAATCCCTATCTCGGAATGTATTTTAATGTGGGCCTTTACTGGACTAACACCCCTTCAACTACTGCTTATAAGTTTGTTTTTTATCAACAGACTCATTAGGTTTTTCAGGTACCGTGTAGAACCCCGAAATCGGTCCGCTTCGCTGATGATTGTGGTAAAGAACTGTATTCTGTTAGGGTTATGACCGAGCCCAGTGATTATCCGCCTCAAATCAACCCAAGTGTCCTAAGAAGACTACGAGGTTGCCTGTTTCCTTCCAGTTCTGTGTTGATGCATAGCTATTGGTGACCAGTTTAAGGTGATTCCTATGTAGAAGAAGCAGCTCACAGTGATCCAGTTCCAACATGGAATTTATTATTCAAACAACCTGCCAGTGAATATGTGCGATTCAGGGAAACCTTAGCAAAGGTTGGCCATTTTATGTCACGTAGGACTGGTCCAGGGGTTTTCTGCTGACATCTTGTCACCATTGATCGTTCATCATTTAGGATCGTGTTTCGCTTGAGAACGTGGTGGTGAAGCCGGATTCGTCAAAGATTACTGGCACAATCAAGGTGAGACTCGTTGAAAAAACCCCAATAACTTCTGAAGACTATTGCCATAGGAACTCTGGAACCGTGCCAATACTTTGGGGTGGGGATCTCACCATTTCTTGGGAAAACTCGGATTTGGGCAGATTCCAGTGACATATTGTATGGCATAAAATCATTCATTAGGGTGAACAGGTCGGTATCTATCCGCTTTTAAAGGTTTTAGTAATTGTAGGTAACAGTCAGTGTGTTCTATTCTTGCAGGTGTCTGCAAGAATAGAACGTTTGAAGAGAACATAGATTGATAACAGGCATTGAAAGCGATAAATGGGTCGTTAAGCTCTATCAGAGTGATTAGGGAAAGTTAGGGAACCATGGTTACCATGGTGCTGAGTAATGAGCCCTTAGAATAGACAGGAGAACAGAGCAAATGAAGTTCCTATCGCACATGGAAAAAAATTGCGGGCACGCAGCGATTTTCTAACATATTCTGTTCATTCAATATTCAAAGTTGCTTGAGAACAGGGTCCATAGCAGCAACTGGGGCCCTTACTAGGGCAAATGGCGAAGAAATGATTGTATGTCTGGATAAAGGCCTTTGTTCATGCCTAGGATCCTCCAGTGTGGGCGTCAAACCCTTTGTCATGGTATTGAATGTCATGTGCAGTCTGCACCGAAATGTCCCATTGAAACGGAGCAGGAGCATATAACCCCACAACCAAATGAATTCTCTGCTGTTGCGCAGTTCAGTTGGAAACATTTCGTTGAAACACAAAAAAAGGTAGCGGGGATTTGTATCCAAGGTCCAAATAATGGAAAAGAAGTTATTTTTACGCATTTTTTTCCTGTAATTTCATCTCCAGTAAAGCGAATGGATGAGAGCGCTCAAATTTGATTGTCGTACGGAATACGATTAGAGCGAATGTGACGGGCTGTGGGGGGAGGACGTTCCGTCAGCCTTCAGATTCTTTTTTAGTACGATGTTGTGCTGTGCATTCTTACTGAAATCTGAACCCACCGAAACGGGCATCAGAACTTTTTCAGAAGCACTATTCGAGAATTATTCCAACTTTCAATTTTTGTGGCTACTGCACGTACCGAAAAAAGCTTGGCGGGTCAAAAAACGTATTTTCGAGCCAGTTTTAGCGCGTTTTCGAGTTCTGAGCCAATGGATCATCAGCAGGAACACACTTAAAATGGAGCCCATTGTTTAATGTTGGGTCGGGTGGCCGCACGAACTTATAACCGCTGTAATTCTTGAAGGAATGCCGTGGAACCCAGAGGACTTCGTGGGATTCCTCGGAGCTTTTGATTTTATTCCACTCGAAAGTTCTTGAAAGAGCCCATTCCCATTGATCACTTTTTCATTCCGCAGACTCGGCTTTTTAAGGCTTCCTCTTAGCAGGGCATACCACCACCTTGAGGGGGTGGGGCGGAATGCGACCATACCCCAACCCTCCTTCTTTAGTGCGACCTTCTGTACTAGTCACCTTCTTCCTAACTTATCCCAAATTTCTGCCGTCCAGCAGAAGAGGGGAGTAGACCAAGTCAACTTTCAGGAACAGTAGCTTTGAGGCATATGTTTTGAGACCAGGGGTATACGTAGCCTGCTTGAAACGAGGAAACGAAATATTTCTCATGGCAAAACACGACCTACCCCCTGGGTGTTTTAATCAACGGACGGTGAGCTCTGGCTGATGTATCCGGAAGGGATTTAGGTCCAGACTTTGACTGTGCTAATCCATTACCGGGTTGCTGTACTAATTCTTCACGTCCGTACTCCTATGTGCTTGGAGCTACTATGATAGCGCAATGTTTTCCCGGGCATACTTTATAGGAGAACACAAAATTTTCATACCCAATTGAAAAAAGTGTCGTAAAACTGCTGAATGCGATCATTTGGCTTCTAGTTTCTTCACGGAACTTAAAGGCAGTTGGCACGATAAATCGCTATACAGATGTAGGATTTATACGACTGGCTTAACAGAATTCCGTGACCTCGGACAGGCGCTCCGTGGCGCCTTTTCCAAGGAGGGTACCCCTATAACGCCCTATCGAGCAACAACATTCCGTCCCAAACGCCTTCCTCGCCCGCCCGCCCACAAACGGACGACCGTTCCTGACGCTCGTATTCATTCATTTGCTGAGCAAATTATGAAGCGAAGGGATTGGTATGAAGCGGCCGTGATGCTGCATGCATATATGGGTACACATATGCAGCCGTATCTTCGGTAGCGGTGATTGGCAAGATGCCTACGGGAAACTCGTCCGAAATCGATTTACAAGTCACTGAGAACGGAGGCTTTTTCTTCGCAGGATTTTGACCGTTTCACTCCGTTCTTTCGCCATTTCCCCACTATACAGCGCCCTACTAGCATTTTAGGCTAAGTAGGAAACCATCGTGCCAACTGCCTTTAAAGACACATGGTCAAAGATTGAGGGTGTATACGCTCAAACACATTGAGGGTGTATGAGACTATCAGCCCCCCAGCTGTCGATGTGTCGTGGTCCCCCGCCCAAAACTGCACGGGGTCAGAGTACGGGACCGTGGGAAAGTCGTAATTCCTTGCTACGCCGCCCGTTTTTGCAAACTCACGTTTTTACTAACACCGTCCGCGCGGCGCGGTCGCGTGCAGCTCTCTTGGCTTTTTGCCAAGTCCTGTAATTGCGCTTTGGAATACAAGTACAACGCAATTTCTTTATGCGGATAACATTTTAGGTTCTGCAAAATAAGAACTGAAGATGATGACGAGGGCTAGAACTCAAGAGCAACTGTGCTGCTTCTGCAACAGCCCTCGCAGGCCGCGCATTCCCACAAAACATCAAAATAAAAACGGCCTAAGCGTCCCACTCGTTAGTTTGAAGTATTTCTATAGCATTAGAGCCGGATTCGAGCC